TTTTCAGAAGTTGCAGCAGCATAACACACATTTAAGGAGGTGTACCTGATTTTTCTTTGGAATTTTTTCTGTGTTGGATCAAGCAGGGGAGGAATTGCACAAACTGTGAGAGGTTAGAGAAAACCCATGGTTAGAGTTCAGCAGTGTTCCCATGGCTACTAGGACAGGTACATCATGGGAGCAGGAACACTCCTGGCATTTAACAGCCCTTCCAGGTGATTTATAGTTTTGCATGAGCTTTTCCTAAACTGAGATGTTTTCTAGGGTTGGCACCTCTTTGCTTGTCTCCATGCCCTGTTAGTTCTGTGCTCAGTGGCCCATGGTTATTAAAATTCTTATCAATAAAGGAGTTTCTGAACAAGGTTCTTATTTTCTGGGCTCGTGCATACCTTCTGAACTCCTCTGCTTAACCAAAGGAACATTTGTTTTTATGCCTAATGTATTTTATAAGAAGAAACGTGTAGAGTTCAAGTAATATTTGCCTTCAATTACAGTAATTAAGTTGTCAGGACTTGAAGTCACCAAGGGAATGAGAAAATCCTTTCCTGGTTGGCCAGGAGGTAACTGGTGTTCTGATCCCAAGTGCATTTTACATATTGGGGTGGGGAGGGAAACTGTTCTGCCTGAAAACCTGGGGGACTGTGTATCATTTTGCAATACAGGGTGTCAAAATCCTGCTGTGGGGAAAAGGAAAATGACCTGTTTCACTGGGCTTTAGCAGGGCATCTACTTTTGATTTGCACTGAGGTTGAATCCGTGGGCCGAGGCCAATGGCATGAGGTTCAACAAGGCCAAGTGCTGAGTCCTGCTCTTGGGTCACAACAACCTCATGGAGCACTAATGGCTGGGGGCAGAGTGACTGGAAAGCCCTGGGGGTGCTGGTGACAGCAGCTGGACATGAGCCCAGGTTTGCTCAGGTGGGCAAGAAGGCCAATAGCATCCTGGCCTGTATCAGCAACAGTGTGGGCCCAGCCCCAGAGCAGTGCCTGTCCCCTGTGCTGGCACTGCTGAGGCATCTCCAGTCCTGGGGGTAGTTCAGAGCCCCTCATGAAAGAAAGATGTTGAGGGACTGGAGTGTGTCCAGGGAAGGCAACAGAGCTGGGAAAGGGGCTGGAAGATGTCCAGGGAAGGGAACAGAGCTGGAGAAGGGGCTGGAGCAACTGAGGGAGCTGTGGGGGCTCAGCCTGTAGAAAAGGAGGCTCCAGGGGGACCTTCTTGGTCTCTACAACTCCCTGACAGGAGGTACAGTCAGGTGAGGGTCAGGCTCTGCTCTTAGGGAGCAAGGGACAGGATGAGAGGAAACAGCCTCAAGTTGTGCTAGAGGAGGTTCAAGGTTGGACATCATGGTAAGGCTTGTCAACCATTGGAAGGGGCTGCCTAGGGCAGTGGTGGAGTCACCATTTCTGCAGGTGTTCAAGAAACAATGGGACATGGCACTTAGTGCTCTGATCTAGTTGACAAGGTGGTGATCAGCCACAGGTCTTCTGCTGCTGCAGCTCCCCTGTACCCTGCATGTACAGGTGTGTGTGGACACGTCCTGATTTTCCCCATGATCAACACCTCTTTGAAGGCTCCTTTGCCAGAAGTCAAATAGTTTCAGTTACTTCATAAACTTGAAGGTACACCACAACATATTCCTACAAGAAAAGTACCTAATTTTGATAAGTGCCCACACAAACATTAGTGGAATCTCAAGTGCAGCTTTGCTTTGGTTCCACTGGAATAGCTCTCTTGAAAACAGATGTATGAGGAAATCACCACTCGTAATGCATCACTAATGACACCAATTTT